TCTCTCTCTCTCTCTCTCTCTCTCTCTCTCTCTCTCACCGGGGATTGAACTCAGGCCCTTGTGCTTGGCAGGGAAGCGCTTATTCCACTGAGCCACCTCCCCGGCCCAGCTCTCGCTGTCTCTTGCTCGCTGTCTCACTCGCTGTCGCTGTCTGTCTCTCGCTCTCTTGCTCGCTCTCTCGCCGTCGCTCTCTATGTCTCGCTCTCGCTCTGTCTCGCTCTCTTGCCGTCGCTCTCTGTCTCACTCGCTGTCTCTCTGTCTCTCGCTCTTGCTGTCTGGCTCTGTCTCTCGCTCTTGCGCTCTCGCTCTCTCGCTGACATGCTCTCTCTCTCTCTTGCTTACTCTCACTCTCGTTCTCACTTGCTCTCACTCGCTCTCGCTCAGTCTCGCTCTCACTCTCTCGTGCTCTCGCTCTGTCTCTCGCTCTTGCTGTCTGGCTCCGTCTCTCGCTCTTGCGCTCTCGCTCTCGCTCTCTCGCTGTCATGCTCTCTCTCTCTCTCTTGCTCACTCTCACTCTCGTTCTCTCGCTCGCTCTCACTCGCTCTCACTCTGTCTCTCGCTCTCTTTCTCGTGCTCACTCTCGCTCTCACTCGCTCTTGCTCTCTCTCAGTCTCTTGCTCTTGCTCTCGCTCACTCTCTCGCTCAAGAAATGAGTCTCATGAAGAATGTTTGGTTTTAAAATTTTCCTCAGCAAACATGTACTAAGAATGTTTTATATGCTAAGTATTAGGGCTTCGGCCTTCAGAAAGATACAAAGGCTTTATATCTTTACAATTTCCTTGATTTTTTTTTCCTGTGATATCTGGGACCAAACTGAGAAGCTTGCATTGTCAGGCAGATGCTTAAACCACTAAGCTGTATCCCCGGCCCCCACAATTTCCGTCACTGAGGGTCCCTAAGTTTAGTAGAGGAAGTAAAGCATGCCCGCATGTAGCTACAAGGCAAGTTGTTCTGTTTTATTAATAAAAGGACCTGGACTTGAGCCCGAGTCTCCTACCACATTCTGTCCATCGATGATGGTGGTTTTCCCTAATTTATAAGCTGTGCATCCCTAGAAATAAGTACTTCTCAGTCCTGGATGACATTTTCCTCTTCTGTGAATAAAGGGTTAGAAGATCCGTAGGCCTGCCTCCTGTGATGACATCCTGTGGTAAACAGGAAGAAAGCTACCAAGACAGTGTTGCAAATTTAAGATGACCGCACATCCAGCTTGTCGCAGAGTTCGCAGCTTGGAAGAACGTCGTATGTGCACCTCATAGCTAAGTGGCGCACCAAGCGAAGAGTCTTTGCCACTTGGAACGAGAGCCGTTGAGGCCTTTCTCGGGCATGCTTAGTTTCATTAGGCTTGGCCTTGTGTTAATTGTCTTTCCCAGTGTGACACCACCCTAGCTGGCTGGGTAAAACAACATGCATGCCTTAGTCCGTAATTCTGCAGCTTGGAAGTCTGGGTTACACCTGGCCCCGAAGTTCACTGGCGTGGTTCGCGCAGGGCTGTCTCAGCTGGAACAGCTTTCCTCTGCTCCGCATGTCTCTAAGCAGGTTGCCTGGACTTAGTCACAGGCTGGAAGGGTGCCAGGAGCAGCACAAACAAGGGCTACGAAGTTCTTGTGGGACCCTCTGCAGTTTGCATGCAGCCACTTCCACCACCGCTGGTGATCACAGCGACTCATTAAGCCAGCGCAGAATCAAGGTGGGCAGCAGTAGACCTTTCACCGGAGGAGCAGCGGAGTATTTGTGGCCATTCTTGCCGTCTTGCTGTAGGCTCAAGCATTTCCAAAAGGCCTCTCGAGAAAGCCTGCAGGAAGGGGAAAGAGAGAGGAGAAAAGTGTTAACTAGCAGACGTCAGCTACTCCTTAGGGCCGGGAAGCTCTGTCTCCTCTGTAGATTTTTCTTTTTATCCTCTGTAGATTTTTAATTGCTCATGGAGATGAATGTCTGAAACCTTGACAATAATTACAGGAGAAACATGGTTGTATACTTCCAGCTTCACAGTAAATAGCACTCCCACTTGTTTTTATTATCACTTCATTTATATGCAAATTATAGAGCAATGTTTATTGGATAGTACATAATTTTAGTTCAGATAATTAGTATGAGCTTCACATTTAATTTCTGAAATTAATGGCTTTGTTTTAAAAGCAGAAGAACTAAAATGTAAACTTTAAAGAGAAATGTATCTTCAATGAAAGTTGACAACTATAGAATGAGGACCCCAAGTTACCCTCTGTCATGGGCGAGGGTGAATGTTCTTGTAACACAGGAGCGCACTGAGCCAGGAAGGCGCCTGAGAACCCGGCTGGTATCCGCAGTTTCTTGCTGCATAATTACCGTTTGCTACGAGCCAAGCGTGGTTAAGTAAGAGTGGTTACAGCCCAGAAAGGCTTCCACATGCGGTGCAGGCCTGCTCCATGGAAAGAGGCCGGGTGGAGACTCCAGGCCAGCTCACTTTCGCCTCCCCAAGCCTTGTTTCCGCATCTCTTTAAACTGAGGATATCATCTAATAACAATTCCACTTTTTATCAGAGTCCTTTTTTTAATGTGTCTAGGACAGGGTCTACAGGCTTTCACTACATGGATCAGGCTCGATCCTCCTGTTTTCAGCTTCCAAGCTCTGGGATTACAGGCATGCACCACCACGCCCAGTCTCAATTGCCATCTCAGCGCGCCCTGAGGATGGGGCTGGCACAGCATGCTGGCGATCAAACCCCAGCCCCTGCGTCTGCCTCAGCAGGCACCTTAATACACTGAGCTATCTGGCCAGTCCTTTGGAGGCCTTCTTACCTGCATCCTAGTTACTCTCCTCCTCACAGGAACAAAACACCTGACACCCGCAGTGCAAAGGTGCTCCTAAGGAGAGCATTCGCTGTCGACTGTGTAAGTGAACCATTCCATTGGAAACAAACAGACAGCAATGGGCCCAATTTGCTTATTAGCATAAGGCCCATCCCAACAGGTGTCAGCATGGGCCACCGTTGCTAACGATAAATTGATGAGCTGGACCTTGGTGCTCAGGCCGGGTTCTTCCTTCCAGGGATCCTGGGATCTAAATAACCACACAGGTGCTACGTGCAGGGTGGTGGTGTCTGCAATGAAGCCAGAGTCTACATAAGGGAAAGGTTCCAGGAAAAGACTGAAAGACAGAATTGCATGGGCTGCTTGAGGGGGAAACACTTAGCCAAACTGCTGATGCGTGGAGGGTTGAAACTTCCGAAGCAGGCATAATAGGGGAGGCTGGGAAGGCAGATGGCCACGCAGCTGGAACGCTAGGCTGTTTCCCGGGTGCTTTTTTTATTTTCTGACATTCACAGCACAGCCTAGTATGATGATGATGATGATGATGATGATGATGATGATGATGATGATGATGATGATGTCTGTGCCTGGGTATATTTTGGGCTTTACTGGTTCTATTTTTCTTTAGAAAAGAGTCAGAGTAGCCATACATAGCAGGAGCTCACCCTATAAAGCCAGACAGACCTCGGTGTCCCTTTATCTCTAGTTCAAAATCTGCATACAGAGTAGCAGCACTGCCTTTGCCGACCCCTAGTTTACAATGAAAATCCTGAAACCTATAAAGAAATTTTATTTATTTTAGCCTTTTATTAACATAATCCCCAAATTAAAAAATTAGGTACTTTTTGATGCTGGTTAATTGCTAATCAATTTCTTGATTAAGAAACATGAGCATCAAATTTTGAAGTTTTTCATCAGTGCACTGATTTAAATTTAGTTTCTTTATGTCTGCTTTTGGGGCAGGAGGGTTCTGTGGTTCAGGGATATTTTCCAGGAGAGATAGAGGGTCAAATTACTTGATTCTGACTTGAGACTTCATCTCAATGAACATGAAAAGGTAAAAAATTAAACGGGAAAGATGAACCGTAGTTACCCCATTATGAAGGGAGCCAACATGGAGAATGGGCAGGTTGGGGAGTGGCGCCTCTCCCAGGCCACGGTGCAGGTGCCACGCTCTGCAGTGTGCTGTGCACTCCCTCTGTGTGGTGCTCAGACTCACACAGCAGAGGGGCCTGCGGGCCCTGATGGAGCATGGCCCTGGGAGCTGGGAGCCTGTGGCACTTCGGATGCTGAGACAGTGGCTCATGACCAGAGGAAAACCCTGGAAGCGCAAATCAGCTAGAAGCTCTACCTGGCTCTAGGCACGGGCATGGGGACTCCAGGCCCGGAACCAGACGAACTCCCAGCTGTAAAGACATTCACTTTCAGAAGTGAGAGTTCTAGTCCCCATGTTGAAAAGCCAGGGGCTGCTTCCTGTTTCCCCGAGTCCTTGTTTGAAGTATTGCCTTCGGAGAAGGGAAAGGAGCGCAAGTCACATTTAAGGGTGAGGTTTGGAATGCTCCCGGGCCTGAAACCCTCCACTTAGGTAAGCCCCTTGCTCTTCAAGGCATCATAGCTCATAAATGGACCAAACTGCAGCAATCATTGAAAGAGAGAAATTATTATAGTGACATTTAAGAACTACATGAACGATAATGGAAACATCCAGAGACTGCAGTGAGCAGAGAGCCGTGAGCCCGCTGGGCACAGTGGTACCCGGTGTTCATCGCTCAAAGGATTGCTGGGTGTGGGTTTTATCTTCGCCTCCTAATGAAGCTCTCAGAGGCCATAACAGAAAGTGCTCCACATGACTGCCCAGGTCAGCCTTTCAGACAACTGAGATTGCTTTTGTCTGTGCCAATCCGTTTTCATTCCTAACATAGCTGAGTGGGATTACCCAAATAAAAACCGGGTTTGTTTCCCAGTATAGAAAGTTTTGAAATAAAAAGTCCTTGGCGTAGCAGGTGGAAAGCTCTGTGACAACACTGTGCTGTCAGAGCATAGTTTAAGAGACTCCGAGTTTGCCACAAAGGCTGGCAACAACGCAAGCCTGAATGTGCCCACAGTTGTACCAGATAAAAAGCTCTGCATTTTGGCTGCCTCAGTTTTTGGCTAATATTCCCAGGAACCCTTGAAGATACTCACAACGTAAGCCTGAGAGTGCATAGAGCTCAGTGTGCTAAAGAGAACTGCACATCATATGATACGGGAGCAGGAAGGAAGCATTCCCGGGAGCAGTCCCTGGACTGCCCGTCCCCTTGCCCCGCTCCCAGGCAAGATCAGTCCAGCCGGGCGTACCTGCCTCCATCGATCCACCTATCTGTGTGGCCTGTGTGGCCCCGGAGTCCTGGAGACCAGGCATCACCCCAAAACTAAACAAGCTATGGTGGTAGCTCCATCGGTGTGGCTTTTCTGGTAATTCTTGGGACTATAAGATCTGTTTCTAAATCCTTCCCATTCCTGTCCCATATAATTAATCCCATAGGGTTCCTGGGAGATATGGATTCTTAGTACATGGTTTGCAATGGTTTACAAGTTGTAGAATCTGATTCCAGGGAACTTGGGAAGAAAGACAAAAACTGTAATTGGCAGAATGTCAGAGAAGGTGAGAAAGCAGGCCTTAGCAAGGGCGGGAGCAGGCACCATCTTAGCATCTACTTGTCGGAACTAATAGTGATTCTTTTTAAGAGACTTCCAGCCGGAGGCAGCAACATGACCGTTCCGCTCCTACCAGTTTCACATTTCCAGGAGCACACTTACTGCCCCGGACCTTCAGGGGTAGGAGCAGCCTTTTGATCATTAATCCCAGCAAGACACGGGAATGCTGGAGAAATAGTTGCCGAGAGTGGCTTTAGTTCTGAGCTGGCAGCTCACAGGTGACAGCGCTAACACTCTGACCTCTTCTGGTTGTCTTTAGGCGTCGAGGAAGTTTTTCCCCATCACGTTCTTTGGCTCCATCACTTGGATCGCAGTATTCTCCTATCTGATGGTCTGGTGGGCGCACCAGGTGAGTCTTGGGCTGGTTTCTCTCTCAGCTTGGTTGCCAAGTGGTTCATCGGTGTGTTTGCTTCCTAAAACTGTCAGGACAACACTGGATGTGTCACAGATAAATTGCACAACTTCCCGTAGGCTCTAGGTCCTTCTTTCTCCCCAGACCCTTCCCCTAGCCTGGAATCACATCAGCGGAAGCACTGGAAGGCCATCTGCAGGAAGATGAGCCTGAAGTTTCTTGCCCTCCATAGTCTGAACCCAGGCCAACCCAAGCACGGGACAAACATTCTTTAGTGTCACTGACAGAAAGCTTTATCCTGGACAAGCCATTTAACATGGCTCTCACCGGGCTTTCTGAACTGGTCTCGGGAAAGGATGTGGAAACAAAACGATGTCTTCCTAGAGCTTCACTTTATATAAATAATGATATATTGCATCCTCACCACTGTAAACCAAGAACCAATCCTAATCCCTTATGATCTTAGTAATAGTCACTGAAACATACAAGGAATGAGGCCACTACAATCACCACTGTTAATTGAATGGGTACTATGTGGTGGGCAGTTTATATCCCTTTGTCTTTATAATCCTGCCATTAACCCTGTACATAGATTTGAATTCTACGAAGGTACTATTACTGTCTAAACTCTCCAGATAAAGGAGGTAAGCTTAAAATTGCCAAGAGGGTTGCCTAAAATCACAGAGGAAGTAAGTAGCAGAGCAGCAGTCTCTGAAGCCCCAACTTCATACTTTTAATCTTTCCTCTACATGAGCTCCAAACTGCCTGCTTATAGCCTTTGTCTATTGTCATCCTTAAATTATTGTACTCGTTAGCATACATGAGATGTTGTAGTTTGAAATAAGGACATATATACCAAGAACATATGTGGATAGACTCTTCAAGAAATGTTGCTGAAATAATTCAATTTCCATATGTCAAAATAAACTAATTTAAATCTTTACCTCATATTGTGTTCAAAAATTAACTTAAAGTAGGCATCTCTAAATACAAAAGCTAAAACTATCAAACTTTCAGAAGAAAGCATAGAAAATCTATATAACTATGTTACCACCGTGGGATAACACCTGAGATAATCAACTCATCAGAAGGAGAGGTTTGTTTTGGCTCACAGGTTCAGAGTTTTGGGTCCGTGATTGCTTGGTCCCATCATTTTGGGAGAACATCACGGTGGGGAGACCGCAGCAAAGAAAGCTGTGTACCTCTCAATGGCCAGGAGCAAAGAGAGAAAGAGTGGAAGCTAGGGCCCCAAGTCCCCAGAGAAATACCACTGGCCTCGCTTCCTGCCACTGAACCCACCTCCTAATGGTGTCCACCGCCTTTTGACAGCATCACCAGCATGGGTCTAAACCTTCAACACGTGAAGCTTTGGTAAACCTTCCACATCCAAGCTACAATGAGGACGCTGTTCGACCCGAGGATGGTCCTATCTGTGCCCTTGGCTTTTCCTCTGACTCTTCAAAAGTCAGCGGAGTGACAGCCACTTCAGGCAGGCATTTTTAAAGGACTAGATTTCCTTCAAGGACAGTGTCTCAGCCACACAGGCTCATCAGGGGTCAATGAAATTATTCATTATTCATGTGCTTTTCCATATTGTGACTTGGCCCCAGTAAGCCAACTTTTGTCCCTAATGCCAGAACCTTGGTTGCTGATCTGAAAACTTCACAGAAGAAAGTAGTAATGTCTGCTTGGTACTCACTGCTAGTTATTGATCGGTTACTTGAAGTCTGACACTGCTGTTTCCTCCATTAGTCTCATCACAGGTGCTCAGCATGACTGAGTGAATGTTGTTGTCCTCATGTTACAAATGGGCAACTGAGAGGCAGAGACAGTGTGTCCCTCATCCTAGAGGGACAAACTAGACTTTCACCAGGACTTCTGTGTCCCAAACCAGCTTTTAACCATACCACTTTTCTTCAATTTCTTCCCTTTTCTGCAAAGTGGCATTGAACTATGAAACAGATGATCTGTATAAGAACTTAAATTATTTAAATATGCATTAAATAAACTGTAACTTTTTTAGACAATCATTTAGTCATCATCTTCCTAGTCCTTGACATTTCCTTCTAAATTTAAACAAAAAGATAAGCCACTAGAAGAAAGTTTTGCTCACATAGGGCTTGCTAGTACAAAACTCTTACATAACTTGTTCAAGGTGAATCAGTGAGAACCATGTTAGACAATCACCTATGTGTGCAGATCAGTTTGTTCATCCACCACCTCAGCTTTCACAGCCTAACATAGATCAGGCTGTTCTCTACAAATAAGGGATGTCATAGTTACCAAGGCAAGAAAACTGCTTGCACAGGGCTTACTTTTTTTTTTTTTTAACGTACTTGGTTGTCCCGGAGTTTCACTACACAGCTTGGACTCATAGTGATCCTCCTGTTTTCATCCTCCCCAGTCTGGGATTACAGGCATGTGCCACTACTCTGGACTCTGTGGGCAACTCAGCCCACCCTGAGGACGGGGCTGGCATTGCATGTGGTGCCAGGATCAAACCACGGTCCTTGTACTTGCCTAAACTTGCCTAAGCAGGCGCCTTAGTCCACTGAGCTATCTCACCGGCCCAGGGCTTACTCTCTAACAAGAGCATAGAATCTGTGTGCCATGGTAATCTCATCAGGATACCAGACACTAGACCAGAATGACCACAAAAATAAAATTATCTCCCATGTTTTTAGATAAGATATAACTTAGAAATCAAAAACCTAAAAGAGATTTAGGAATGAATGTATTTCAGTCCCTAATTCCTTTATCATTACATGCTATCTCAATAATCCCCAACACCTGTAAGTAATCCCCACCAAAAAAAACAATAAACCTCTGGACGTCATCAAGAAGGCCAATAGAAACCAAAGAGAAGCTTTATGTCTTTTCTGGAGTTGATGAGCTGCAGATCTGAAAAGCGAAAGATTCCAAGTCTCAACAAGGTTGACAAGTTACTCACAAGAATGGAAAAGCCTTTACATGAGGCCAGACCAGCCTCCAAGCAGAACTCATCAGTCTAAAGAAGAAAAACTGGGGGCCGGGGAGATGGCTCAGTGGAATAAGTGCTTCCCTGGCAAGCGCAAGGGCCCGAGTTCAATCCCTGGTTCTGGAAAAAAGAAAAAAAAAAAAAAAAACCAAGAGCTTAAAGAAGAAAAACTGGAAAGAAGTATACCTACCGCGTGCCCTTGCCTTTTCAGTAATGACACATCACTGATAAAGGGCTTTGCACAAGTTACCCAGCATCACTTTGTGTTTGGATACACTTACCCTCGCTTTGCATGTTCAAAGGCTAGGGTCAAAGACACGTGCAGGGCATGTCACCGGCAGGCTGAGTTCTTAGCAACCGCACACGCAGGCTTCGGGCCGCGCTCCCTCCTCGGGCTGCCACCGTTCTGCAGCTGCCTTAGTAAGCGCTCCATATTATCAGACCTGAACTCTCCCAAAATCGTATTTCTTATGGAAATGGAGAGGCTAATAGTGTTCAAGTGTGGTTCGGACAATAGAAAATATTAAAGAAGATGGGAACAATGAGCCAGTTTTTAAGCTTGGATGGTAAATTGAAGAGCAGATCTGTGCCCAGATAGGTGTCACTGTCAGGGGCTGGTCCCGAGGGTCAAAGGCCAGTTGATTTTTATAACTCCAAAGAGCCCTCTCTAGCTTGCTTTGGTTTTAATTTTAAATGATCTACTTGATCTTCAGATGAACATTGCTAATGTCTTGGGTCTGAATGTCATAAAAATATTAATTCCTTGCTGGGGAGATGGCTCAGTAGAATAAGCATTTGCCTGGCAAGTGCAAGGGCCTGAGTTCAATCCCTCAATCCCCAGTTCCAAAAAAAAAAAAAAAAAAACAAAAAAAAATTCCTGTATGGCAGTGATCACGGCTCATCAATCTTTACCATCTCAGAATTCAGCAGAGCACAGAGGAGTAACTCACTGAACGTGGGCTGCACTGCAGTATTTGTGTTTTGGCGGTTTTATGACTTCCAGCACACATGTTTGTCCTCTCACGATATTTAGGTCGGAGAGACCATCGGCATCAGTGAAGAGATCATGGGTCTGACCATCTTGGCTGCGGGGACTTCCATCCCTGACCTTATTACCAGTGTCATAGTGGCCCGGAAGGGGCTGGGGGACATGGCCGTGTCCAGCTCTGTTGGGAGCAACATTTTTGACATCACTGTAGGGTGAGTAGAGATGAATCTGCAAATGCGTGTGCCAGCCATAGCCATCTTCTTCCAGTAACTGCAAGGGCCTGGGAGCTTAAAATGTAGCAATACCAAAACAAAGCTGAGATGGGGAATCATTCGGTTTACCATTCTCATTTTTATTTTTGAAGAACTTTGGGCCGGGGAGATAGCTCAGTAGCATAAGTACCTGCCTGTCAAGTGCAAGGTCTCTAAGTTCCATCTCCAGTATAAAAAAAAAAAAAAAAAAAAAAAGAATTTAAGGAAGAATAAGTCATCTCTATATACCAGAAACACATGCCTGCATACAGAATATATGTTTTAGAAAATACTTCCAGAAATTTCATTTATATACCTGCATTTGCCATGTGTTGTAAACATTCAACGTTCAGGCCAGCCTGAGATGCTCTGGGAGGAGGTTCGTGCTACATTTTCTACAGTATCCTGCCCAGCTTTGAATGAGATTTGGGCTTTAAGGCAGAAACAGACAAACATACTGTTTCTTTCCTTGGAAAACACTGGCAGTGTTGGAATTGATCTATCCCACTAAGCATAGACTAGGTTTTCTGAAAGTTGGAACATGAGGTCTTTTCTTACAGTTAAATAATTGGAGCTCTTCACATGACTTACAGTATCTGTAGCACGCCAGACTGAGAGGGACATTGTTATCTCCCCACTTCATCTAACTTGTCCCAAGTAAGAGGAGCCTGACAGATCACCCTGAATGTCAGTCCCCGAGAAAGCAAGACCTAGGGTGTCATCCTACACTCCAGAAGGAACAGGGCTCTTGACACTTGGGCTTGGAGACCCAGCGAAGTACGTGGACTTTCTCATTGAACACTTCAACATCATTCTGTCTAACGTTCATTTATATATGTGTGTGTGTGTGTGTGTGTGTGTGTGTGTGTGTGTATTATGCATTATATATAATTTCCTGTAGGGTCTACCATATACTCTGTCTATACACTTTTACCCATTTAGGCCACACAGCAATCACATAAGTATATATTAGCACCTATGCTTCTCAGATATGGAACCCAAAGGGCACAGAACTCATAAAACTAGCAAATGAGCAGGCGGTTGGGAACTGAGCAGAGCCTGGGCCACCAGCCGCACTACCTGAGCAGCTCTGTGTGAACCTGCTTGAGGCCCAAAGGTGCCCTCTCTTCCCCTGCTGGGCTGTCTTCTTTTGGGGGCCCCCTCTCACTGAAGAGCCCCCATGCTTGTCTGCCTAGGAAACTCTGGCTATCTTTCCAGTGTCAGCTGCAGTCCTGACTGCTCTGCCTCCCCTGGGGCCGGAGGACTCCGCAGATCACACCGTTGCCATGGCCCTGTCTGCCTGCTTCCTCAGGACTCACTAAGGGCAGGATCCCCCAAAGCCTAACACGTGCCGTTCGATAGACTCCTGACAGATGCTTGGGACTGAACTGGCAGACGCACAAATGAATGAAGGCCTTGAAAAGTGTACACTTTCAAGGAAAGTTAGTATTCCTTAGATCTGCTGCTCATGCATTTAGAATGCAGAATGATCAGTCACTTGTTAAACAAAAAAAGATGAGGAGGGAAAATGTTCTGAAGTAAAAACAGTGAAAATCCTACAAGCTAAGAAACATTGAAAATATTCAGTTAGACATATTTGTCATGATTTTGAAAAATAATTTCCTAGTGAAGTGCAGTATGCTTTGTCGATTGTTCTTAAATTGTGCATCTATTCTAGCAACAGATGAAAGTGTAAGGAAAACTCATCCTAATCCTACTTCTCCAGAACATTTTTTATTTTCTCTTTCAAATGTTTCACAGTTTTCTTAGTGAATATTCACTTTTATTCCTCTATGAGGACCTTAGTTTTTCCCTCTTTTTTTCTCTTTTTTATAGTACTTGAATTAAACCCAGGGCTTCTCACTGAGCTACACAGCCCCAACCCTTCCTTATTCTGAGGCAGGACCTTACTAAGTCACTAAATCACCCAGACTGAGCTCAAACTCACACTCTCCTGCCTCAGCCTTCCAGAAGGGTGGGATTACAAGCCTGCACCACCACACAAGGCTTGATTTCTCTGTCTTCAAACCTGATATACTGGTACAAAGAGGTACCTATTAGAAAACCATAGAAAGCATTTTAAGTGTTTTATAGCTCTCAATTGATTTTATGGCTTCAAATATTATATCTTATTGTTTTCAGTCTAACCATTACCCTTTAGCAGACATTTATTTTCAATTTTATGTTATTGTAGCTATTTTGATATACACCTTTATTTAGAAAAACTTTCTCATTTAGTTATTTTACTAGGATTAATTCCTGTAAGCAGTATCGATGGATTGCATATTTTGAAAATCTTAATGATTATTGATGTGTTTTGCATAGTTCTTTTCCAAAAGCTTCTTTCCCAAGAATTTATACCCCCTTATGATGTCATCCTAATGTCGTGACACCACCTCCAACATATCCTGTGTAAAAATTTCTGTAGCTCTGCCAGCACTTTCTTTTTGCTCATCAGATTAATATAATAAAAAATTAGAAAAATATATATAAAGATCAATGAAAATTCAATACCCTTTTAAATATGTGCATATTTTACATCATTGAAATTACATTTTATATAAATCTTTTCAAATTTAAAATTACATACAAGGCACTAGGCTTGATCCCCAACACTGTGATAAAAAATAAAGCCTAAATTTAAAATTATATTATGAATATTTTCCTGTATCACCATACACTTGAGATTTTAAGTAGGCATTTAATATATTACATTGGCTGAGTCACTATTTAACTAGCTCCCTATCATTGGAAATTATAAGAGATCCCCAACTTCTTACTACTCAACATGGGAATGACCATTTTCCTGAATAAAGTTACATGTGCGCTGCAAGTGATTCTCATCTTTGATCACTGACAGTAGAATTGATAAAACATGAAAAATGTCATTTCCCTCTGAACTCACTGAAGTGCCGTCAGCCTCAACTTCGCCAGAATCGCATGTGCATGCATATGTGCATGTGTGTGTGTGTGTGTGTGTGTGCGTGTGTGTGTGTGTTCGCATGTGCACACTGTGTTGGATTTCTCCTACTTTGACAAATAACTGAGATAATCAATGGAGAGCATAATTCTTTCAGCTCATGGTTTTAGAGGTTTCTACCCACAGTCATGAGTCCATGTTGCTCCGGCCTGTGGTGGCTCAGTAGCTCATGGGGGAGACCTGTTCATGGTGGCCAAAAAGCAAAAACAGAGAGAAGGGGCCAGGGCCCCAATATTGTCACCAAAGGCACATGCCCAGTGACCTAACTTCTTCACCAGGCCCTCCTCAAGGTTCAGACTCTCCCAGTAGCACCACAAGCTGCTGACCAAACCTCCAAATCATGGGCCTACAGAAGATGCTCAGTATCCCAAGTATACCATCTGTTTAGTAATAGTGAAGTGGTTTGGAGTCATTCTCTTCGTAAGACTTGAAAGGATGGAAGAAGTGTCCCACGGGGCCAGCCCCTAGTGATGGTTCTCACCCTTGTATCACTGCCACTCTTCTCTCCACCTTCCCTCCCAGTTTGACTTTCCATTGCTGAGCCAGGCTTCCAGGACTGCCCCAAATTGGAATTCCACCTGTTCCCTGTGCTTCTGGGGAAGGGCACCCCAACAGTGGTCACTGGGGAGGTGCCTGCTGGCCAGGCTTTAGTGGCCAAGTGCCTGTGTGGATGGTCATGGGGCTGATACTACAATGACTTCAGCTTTGCCTGGCTACCTGCACCTAAGTGGAAGCCGGCAGGTGCCATGCCTGGGAAGCCAGAGACACACAGTTGTGGGCTCTGCCTGTGCGCACACTCCCGCAGAGTAGACAGATATACACGGTCACTGTTCAGGTTTCAAAAGGCTACTTCCTCTTCCACACTCCCGAGGCCAGGTCACGGCTGAGTGCCCCTCACCCAGCAGAAGCCCACCTAAAATGCCGTCATCCTGTCATCCTTCTCGCATGTGAGGTTCCCCCATCACGCCTGATGGGTAGAACCAGCTGTATCTCCCCCGGCCCCCTTGAGGTCCCCTGTCACCTGATGTCCTCAGGAATTCCATTCATCTCCAGAGAGACCTAGTCAGCTCCTGTGGCATTCCTGGCTTTCCTAATGTTTCAGAATATGAAACAAAAAATGTTAGCAAGTATTAAAAGTCTAATGAAAAGGGAAATAACGGGTATTAACATGCAAAATAAGGTTTAAAAACACACTGCAAATCTTTCCGAAGAAAACCGCTTTAATCATAGGATTGCCCACATGTGTCTCAGAGGAAACCTCACACTGCTGTAGCGCATCAGCACCATGTACTTTTACTGGCTTTCAGGTTGTTAGCTAAATCATTGTTATTCTGTTTTTAAAATAATTTGTTAGTGTCATGACTCACTTCTCTACCTGCTTTCCATTTATCTTCTCCTCCCCCACCTTGTAAATATATGAATTAAGATCCCCCCAAAATGAGAACCCTTGGGGAGAGTGGGGGAGAGGAGGAGGGGGGGATGCGAGCAGCGGGGCGCTCCGCGCCTGTGCGCCCGCCAGCAGGAGCGCCTTTGGTCTGTGTAACCAGCGCGTGCTCCTAGACAGTCGCGATCCACGTTTCAAATCCTCAGGGTCACCTTTTAGTGCCTAGAACATTGTGATCTCCACTAGGAAGGAAACAAAAATAATTTCGAATGAAATCCCGAAGCTAGCTGCAGCAGTCCTGTCTGGGGACATTCTGCGACAGGACAAGCGCTCACAATTCGATCAGGAAGTAGATGGAGGTCTCCAAAGGCCCACCCGACTGCCCAAGCGGCTTCGGGCGGCCGCGCCTGACGCC